TATAGCAGAGTAGGCACCTGCTTTCCCCATATTGCAGGTGCCTACTCTGCTTACATTTACCCGGCCGGAGAGGAGGGCCGCGAGGGAGCTCAGTGTTCCAACTCCTCACTCCTCCCTCGCGCACGCTGACTGAAGTGAAGACGGGCGCCGGAATATGACATCTTAGAGCAGTGAGGAGCAGGAAGGACCCCAGGGAAATGCCCCCCATCGGCTCCATGAGGTAAGAAGCAATAATGAAAAGTATGTGGGCAAGTGTGTGTGTGTTTGTCTGTCTGTCAGCGAGTATGTGTGTGTCTGTCAGCGAGTATGTGTGTGTCTGTCAGCGAGTATGTGTGTGTCTGTCAGCGAGTATGTGTGTGTCTGTCAGCGAGTATGTGTCAGTCTGTCAGCGAGTATGTGTCAGTCTGTCAGTGAGTATGTGTCAGTGTGACTATGTGTGTGTGTGTCTGTTTGTGAGTGCGTGTGTCAGTGAGTGTGTGTGTGCCTTTCAGTGTCAGTGAGTATGTGTGTGTCGGTCAGCAAGTATGTGTGTGTCGTTCAGCAAGTATGTGTGTCGTTCAGCAAGTATGTGTGTGTCGTTCAGCAAGTATGTGTGTGTCGTTCAGCAAGTATGTGTGTGTCGTTCAGCAAGTACGTGTTTGTGTCTGTGAGTATGTGTGTGTCAGTGTGACTGTGTGTGTCTGTGAGTGTGTCTGTCAGTGAGTTTGTGTGTGTGTGTGTGTGTGTGTTCCAACTCCTCACTCCTCCCTCGCGCACGCTGACTGAAGTGAAGACGGGCGCCGGAATATGACGTCTTAGAGCAGTGAGGAGCAGGAAGGACTCCAGGGAGATGCCCCCCATCGGCTCCATGAGGTAAGAAGCAATAATGAAAAGTATGTGGGCAAGTGTGTGTGTGTCTGTCTGTCTGTCAGTATGTGTGTGTCTGTCAGTCAGTATGTGTGTGTTTGTGTGTATCAGTGTGTGTCGGTCAGCGAGTATGTGTGTGTCGGTCAGCGAGTATGTGTGTATCTGTCAGTGAATGTGTGTGTCTGTCTGTCAGTGTGACTATGTGTGTGTGTGTGTGTGTGTGTGTGTGTCAGTGTGACTATGTGTGTGTCTGTCAGTGAGTGTGTGTGTGCCTTTCAGTGTCAGCAAGTATGTGTGTGTCGGTCAGCAAGTATGTGTGTGTCGGTCAGCAAGTATGTGTGTGTCGGTCAGCAAGTACGTGTTTGTGTCTGTCTGTGAGTATGTGTGTGTCAGTGTGACTGTGTGTGTCTGTGAGTGTGTCTGTCAGTGAGTTTGTGTGTGTGTGTGTGTGTGTGTCTGTGTGTGTGTCAGTGAGTATGTGTGCGGCCCACATAAACATGAACCTTGTTTATGTGGCCCGTGCCACACTGAGTTTGACATGCTTGCGTTACAGATTTGTCTCCCGCATAGGATAAAACATATCTTTTGATTTTTCAATCAGACTTTAACACATTTTTGTAGCCATTGTCTCTTTTCTTGAATTAGGAGTAATCAGATTTTAGTGGATACATTTTAATTCTAGTTATGAGGTTTAAGAACAATACAAGGAAAGTGCTCTCTGTGTATAAAGGCTGTAATCCTTGGTTGCAGATAGCACGGTCCTCTAGGGTACAAACATGCACAGTCTTTAAAAGTAACTAAATTCCAGGTACTTTATTGTTGAGCTTCACCACAGAGACAGCAGTAAATGAAAACATAAATATAACAAATCCCTATAAACAAAAACCTAGCTCGTCTGAGCACTAACTTCAGGTTCCCCATCTTTCAGGGGTTAAACTATAACAAAATAATATTGGTTTCACCAACCTAGTGTCTTTGTCAGCTCTCAGCACTCCAGTGTTTAGTCAGCGTGCTGCTTCCAGCTCTTCAAGAGAGAAAAACAAACATTCTCCCCTTACCTGCCTAGCAGGGAGGGGTTTATTCCCACTGCTGCAGCTGAGCAGTGGGTTGGAGACAGTCCAAAAACCCTGGCCTGGATCTATGTCTCCCAAGAAAACCGCTAAACTGCGGAGTGGAGCACTTGTCCACCCTGCTCTCCAAATGCTCCACCCCAGGGGCCCATAACTAAATATTCATTTCGGTTATGAACACACACACTCCCCCTGGGGTTAAAAATCATATGCCTCTCTGAACAATTCAGTCGGAATATAAACTCCCTCACAGACCACCCCATTCACCTTATCACAAGGCGCTTAATAAATCAGCCAAGACAGATGCAGGTGAAGGAACAGCAGCTTTAACACACGTGTAAATACCCCCAAAATTTACACACAAATAGTATAGAACAAGTAACCCAGGTGGAACAGGCCACATTAGGAATCACTTAGTGGAGCGCTGTAAAACACAGTGATGAACGTACCCCTATATTTGGGGGAAAAGTATAACTGCACAGTTCCCTACAAGGGCAAGAAAATATTGTACAAATAGTGAAGTACATCACAGTCCAGCAGTGTGAATTAAAAAAGTAATATGGACCACACTCACATGGTCTAGAGCCACATATGGATAGGCTCAGGTCACTCTGGCATAGGTATATTAGGTAATACCAAACCCTCTTGAGGGATTCAGTCAGTTTTCTCGCCAGAACGAAAAGAGAAACAGGAACTTTTTGTGCAGAAATATGGAAATTACATATATATATATATATATATATATATATATATATATATATATATATATATATATATATATATATATATATATATATATATATATATATGTAGAAAGGCCATTAGGCCTGAATTTGTGGGAGGAGTAAGTCCCCTACTTAAACTCCCAGCCCCTACTCACCGCTGCCGCTCAGCTGATTGTCTTCATAGCAACCAGCACTTCCGGTCCAGCTTCCCGCCAGAACTGTTCCTGTTTCCAGCAGTCAGACGTCCTGATCAATCCTCCGTCCGTCCGAGGTCCTTCCACTCGGTTTTTCCCCGGTCGAGGTACCCGACTTCCGGTCACGAGACCGGCACGTTCACGTAAGCTAGGCGAGGGAATTAGCGTTCGCTATTCCCCGCCGTTCGGGCCTAAAAACGTAGGGGTAGGCTCCCTCTATCGGATTTACACGAATACATGCTCTTCGTATAAAGTTTTCTGTTCGCGCCAAAACGCACGAACGCTCGGCTCATTTCACTATCGTTTAAACATATTCGTACGGAAACTACCGAATCCATATACAAAGTATTACGCTCATATTATTATCTGTATTCCCTTTTTCCGTTCGGTCACTCAGTACCAACCTATTTCGTACGGTTAATACACGAACACCATTTTACTAAACCATATTCGGCTATATTTCTATTCAAACAGGCTAAAGTATGCACAAGTTCAAATCACACGAATCCTACTACATTTTCGTATATTCCTGTTCGGTCAGATAACTACTAATACCTACACATCAGTATGGGGTTATACTAATCTGGTTTAACTACCAGCCTTGTGTTTTCCTACCTATGCTAACCGATTAACGTATTTTTACTGTTAAACTATTATAAACATACGGCTTTTCTTACACATATTTTAACTAATAAACTTCACCCCTTCTTAACCATGGTACATACCTTCATACGTGACTAATACAAGTAATACTATTTTTCTAAAAACACACAGATATAAGTCATTTAAACACTACGTGCCAGAAATACCCGTTACACCAACATCTGTACTATTCCTTTCACATAAATCATGCTGTCACATATTTTGGCTTTTACAGATTGCATCGGTTTCTCGCTTTTCTGCGCTAAAGTTGTTATTTCAAGGTCTTTTATTTCAGGAACAGGTATTGCATCTTATCACTTTGAGTTATCAGGTTTTATTACT